TGCGGATGTCATTCCCGAAACTTTGCAGGGTGTAGCCTATGTGTCCAAAAAACGAAAGTTTCATACAAATTCTGAACGGATTATACCCTAGAAAGTGCGCAAAGCGCGCGCTCCCTTTATCACTAAAAACCGTCACTCATCTTCGTTCATCGCGATCTTACAAAGTTCCGTTATAATCAATGCATAAAGAATCTCTTATTTACATTGTGTCTGCACTTAGTCATGAGATGATTCACGAGCGTGCAAAACTGCACTTAAAAACTGCGGCGCTTTCAGCAGTGAGTGAATTCTGACAAAACGTTTCTGATCGGCCATTGCGTTCAAGAAATCAACAGATATCTGTGATTGGTTACATTGCTCAATGCTGCAAAAACATGTTGAGGGTATTTAGCGCTTGGCTAAGCGCTCCAATTGCAGCGGGCCGACATCAGGGATTCATGACTAACAATATGGGGGGGGCAGTTCCCCCCCACCTAAGGTCGCCCATGATAGTAGCCATAATTTCCACCAAAACACCATAACCCCAAAAGTTATTGTCATTAATTTAAAACTGCAGCAACACATTTGAAGTACAGTAAATAAAGGATCGAGGTCCACTCAAACAACAATGAGCATTTTGCATGCAAAATGACGCCTGTACTGTGATTAATATTCAAGTATACTTGCTGACGTTTTAGCTAAGGAAGAAACACACTAACGTGTTATGTGATGAGATGAATTTCATAGAAACCCCTCAAGTACAAGCATGGACTCACCTGCATGTTTGTGGTGAGGATGACCTCTCTGACCCTGCGGACAACTGCCCTGCTGCAAAAACAGAGCGGCCCCCTTGACCATCAAGAAGCTCTCGCTTAGACTGTAAAAGAGAGAGCGAAAGAAAGGGTAGAGAGGACGAAATGCGAGAAACGTGGGCCAAAAAAAAAACATGCTCGCATGACATATCATACAATGTAATACGACAAAACCCACAGAGACCTGAAAGTTGTAGATTTGGATTTTACGAAAGTACAACGTGGGTTTTTCTTATATCGCATATCATGTGACACTGAAGACTGGGGAAATGGCTACTGAAAATTCAGCTTTACCATCATAGAAATAAATGACATTTATAAAATATATTAAAATAAAAAACAGCTATTTATATTGTAATGATATTTCACATTATTATTTTACAGTATTTGTGATCAAATAAATGCAGCCTTGGTGAGCATAAGAGAATTCTTTCCAAAACATTCAAAATCTCTAATCTGTAGTAAACGTATGATGAAAATCACGATACAAATAAAGTTGACAAGACATCAAAATCTGTTATTATTCAGTCACAATAAAATAAGAATGATAGGGTTTCTGATAAATATACAGTATATGGATATGTGTCCATTCTATCAATTTAAAATATAAAACATTTTGTGAATGAACCATGACTGCATATCTTTAAATCTCTGGGGTTGAATTTTGCAAGTTATACAACCCATCTCACCATCACTCACCTGTATACTCGTGACAGGTGCTTTAGGTCTGTGATTTCAGGTGTGGCAGTAATTAGCCTCACATGCAGTTAAACACACTTATAGAAATGTGAACCACCTGAGGCTCACTATTATTTTAATGCACTGTGGCACAAGTAAATCTTAATGGAAACTCAGTGCTGGGAAAAGACAGGACTATAGCTGGTAAGGTGAGAAATGCTCTCAATATCTTGCAGAGATTACTGAGCCAAGTGAGTCAAGAAAACACTCTTGTCTATTATCAGACTGTCATAACAGGGCAGGGATGGTTCACATTAATTAGACTGAACACGGTGGAGTAGTATTTGACTTTGGTTGATAGTTTAATGAACTTGTGTGTGTGTTTATGTATACATGGCCTCTCCCTGCCCTTGGATTTGGTCTGTATACACACTGTATACTTAAAAACAATAATAAAACAAAGAGAGAAAGAGAAAGTGAGAGAGTGACAAAGAGAGAAAACAATGAATTTTAATATTGTTTTGTGATATTTTAGTTCAAAATGAAATATTCCTAGTTGAAATAGTTGTACTTGTACCTACTAACATTTATTTGATTATACAGTAAAAACAGTCATTTGTGTAATATTATTACAATTTAAAATAACTGTTTTATATTTTAATATATTTTAAAATGTAATTTAATACTGTGATGGCAAAACTTTCAGTTTTCAGCAGTCATTACTCTAAACAGTAATACTTTTGTGGAAACCATGAAAAAAAACTAGGATTTTATAAATTTATTTTTTAATGCATTTAATTTTATTTATAACATTTTTGAATTAATAAAAATGTTTTGAAATAGAAATCTTTTGTAACATTATCAATTAGCATTAATTTATTTCAATTAATTTCTCAAAACAAAACAAACATAAAACTGATCCTAAACTTTTTATTGGTGTATATATATTGTCAATAATATACTGTATAACATTTTTTTACATACGTTTCATATAAACACTGTATGCAAGTAATTCCTGTATCCATAACGGCAGAGAACATCAGTAAATATTGAGACTTTTTATTGCACTTTACTCCTAATTTTTGTCATAACTGAGTTCTAATGGTCATAACATCAGTGACTGACAAGTACAAAACAACCTACAAAGCCCACATGCATGTCATATATATGTCAATGACTTGTCAGACAAAATAGCTGTTGACTGTGGCTCCATTCATGCAGCACACATCAAGTCAACACTCTCTAAATCACTCTCACTCTCCTGAATATTTTAAGCGGTCACATCAGTTAAAGAATGAAGTTGTCACTCTCTTTTATAAGAGAAATGTTTATCAACAGAACTGTGATTAGGACTGTTCTGCTTGTGTGAATACAGCCTAATTATGCAATATGTTTAACACTGGACAGACAGACAGATAGGTTGATAGATAGATAGGCAGGTTGAGACAATGCTTTTATTCTGAGATTCGACTAGAATGACTAGTCAATTTTGAAAATATGTAGTTCTGCACATCCCTACACTATTCCACAAACTCAATTAATTTTAATTAAATGGTTTGTGATTTAAAAAAAAAAAAAAATCAAACTTGATACAAGTAATTAACTTCTCAAACACACAGATGCAATGAAAAGAAATAGAACGCGTTAACTGGAAAGGGAGATCACTGGACAGACAGACAGATAGGTTGATAGATAGATAGGCAGGTTGAGACAATGCTTTTATTCTGAGATTCGACTAGAATGACTAGTCAATTTTGAAAATATGTAGTTCTGCACATCCCTACACTATTCCACAAACTCAATTAATTTTAATTAAATGGTTTGTGATTTAAAAAAAAAAAAAGTCAAACTTGATACAAGTAATTAACTTCTCAAACACACAGATGCAATGAAAAGAAATAGAATGCGTTAACTGGAAAGGGAGATAATAGAAGCATACAATCAAAAAGATCACGGGTTGGTTATTTAGGAGTGGCTACTCAAAACCATCATGGTCTAGGCAGGCAAAATATTTCAGGGTAACATTGTTTTCTCAGCCTGCAGTGGCTGTGACCCTTTGCTGACTCATCCCTCTCATTTTCCTGACTGGACTTCCAGTGTCTCAGCATTCAGAGGAACAGCCATTACATGATAAGCAACCGGCAACAAAACTCACATTGTACCCCACCCCACCCTTCTCTTATTCCCCTCTTCAACTTTCTCACCCTCCCACCAAAGGCCTCAAGGGTGTCAGCAGATCACAGAGGCTTTTGTTTCCATCCTCCTCTTTTTGTTTCTGCTGCGTTCTCTCTCTGTCCGCCCCTCTGAGCGATTTATGTGAAGGCTGGAAGCAGCTCAGCACCGTTGGGCTGATGGATTGAGTCATGACTGAGAGACAGACAGCTGAAAATGACGATACACAAGCCCTGAGCTGAGTACACTCATCTCCAAGGGTGTAATTATGATGTGAGTAAGAGTTTTGAGAAGAAACCGCTCTAAAACGTCTCTGTCCACGTTTCACTTGTATGCTTAGAGTCGGACACAGATGGATACATGGCACCTGGTGTAGGATGAACAGCCCTTTGGTAGAAAATCTGGAATCAAAACTGCACCACAAATATAAAGTTGTCAACTTTCTTTCCTGATAAATATAACAAAAAAAGTATACACTGTAAAAAAAGCTAATATTTTTTAAAAAGTATGCAGTAAAAACCTATTAATTGGTTAACTGTAAAAGTTACAAAACTGTACATGGTTTAACATTGCATTATATGTAATTTTACTGTAAAATAATGTCAAATGTGTGGATTTTAGAAGTAAAAACTACAACCATAGAAAAATAATTCCTTGCATGATACAAATATTATTTTATTTCAATAATTGTTTATTTTTATTTTTGTCATCAGTAACGTACATTAGGTTTTTTATGTATAGCTTAATTTCAATCACAAATAACCTTGCAGTTAAGTATATTCGAATAGTTTAAATCAAGAAAATCTATTAAAAAAGATCAAGGAATATATTCCATTGTTTCTATCAATTTTCATTTATATGCAATGAAGTAATTAAACCGCAACATGTGAAAGATAATGCCAATGAATCATTGAATCAGAATTTTTAACTGATTCAAAAAGACAGTTTGAACTGATTCATGAAATTAGTTGAACTTACCAACTCTAATACTGTTTTTGCTACTGGAATTTAATTTAACTTTAAGTTTTAACGCTCACATACTCATGAGTCACAAGACAACAACGATAACAACGATATGCAGATTAACATACCTACAATGACATGCCTAACTGATATACCAATAATGACAATGGCCAGATACAAATGCATTAAAACAGTTGCAATTCTTATTGTTTTACTTAATTTTATATTGCCAGCAAATCATCAAAAATATCTGCCCACCCATGTAGAGGGCCAACTGCCTAACTGATATACCAATAATGACAATGGCCAGATACAAATGCATTAAAACAGTTGCAATTCTTATTGTTTTGCTTAATTTTATATTGCCAGCAAATCATCAAAAATATCTGCCCACCCATGTAGAGGGTCCTGATTAACTCTCACTCACTTTCTCCCAAACACATTTACACACATCTCAACAACCCCTCCATAAATGCATAAGCCAAAAATATCATCCATATCACAGCAAAGTACAGTATCAAACACAAAAACACATGCAGGCCTAACAAGCCCACATGTTAGTAAATTCATGTGAAGGTCATGACTGATTTGGCACTGCATTGTCGTCTGATATATTTGTAAAATGGCCATATGCAGGAATAAATTGGTACATTGGCTCTTATGTAAATGCACACAGTTTGTGCAAATACAAACTGCAAAATCCGACAACCGCATGCCTTTCATTCAGATTGAATTGAATTTCATGCAAACAACATCACTACCTCTCAGGTAACACTGGCAATCGCTCTTACGTAAGAGCAACAAAACTCGTTGAGATGCGGCAAGACAAGATTTTACAGGTCAATGCAAATCTATGTGACCAACATAAAGAACAAACATACATGTAAGATCAAAACAGAGGCCTCAGACAAATATGAAGTATGAATGAATGCTGCCAGCTGCTCTAACTGGGTCACAAATCACCAGTAGTCCAGTTTGATGTTTCTACTGCTGTACTACAGTTATTACTCAAGAAACTGTCCAAAAGGTACAGAAGAATATATATATTTTTTACTACTAATTACACTACCATTGAAAGGTTTGGTGACAGTAAGATTAGTTTTTTCCCTTTTGGAACTTTTTTTTTTTTTTTTTAAGATTTCTTGAGCATCAAATCAGCATATTAAAATGATTTCTGAAGGATCATGCGACACTGAAAACTAGATTACTTGGCTGCTGAAAATTCAGCCTTGCCATCACAGTAATAGATTAT